AAAAAAAAAAAAAAAAAATAGCCTGCATAGTGGTACACACCTTACCCAGCTACTCAAAAGGCTGAGACGGAAGACTCACTCAAGTGTAGGAGTTCAAGATAGCAGTGAGCTATGACTGTACCACTACACTCCAGCCTGGGCAACATAGTGAGACTCTGACTCAAAAAAGGGAAAAAAATCACAACTATTTATTTTTAGAGACACCAATTTTAAAAATTAAAAATGGGGAACATAAGTCAATAAATATAAACAGCAATAAGAAAAATTCAGTACTGGCATCAAAGCCAGGTAAAGAGAACAAGGTAGCAGGATACTGTGGGAGGCAAAGAAAAGGAGCCAGAGAAAAAAAACCAAAACACATTACAGAAGAAAAATAGAAGAGCAAGGAGCAATATGGTGAAACAGACGATGTTCCCATCCAGAGGGGACTACGCAATAAAGGCTAAACACAAACAATGGAATGGCAGAACCCACTTACCAGGAGGCAGATGATGATGAGAGGTAGGAAGTTGAAGGAAACCAAAGGAAAAAGCAGAGACCTAAATATTCTGCTACCACGCTTCTCAAAGAAGTACAAAACACTAGATTGTACAAAATGGGCAAACATCAACAGAATTTAGCAATAAAAAGTTTTCATTCCTTCTAAAAGGCTGGAAATTTTTGAAAATTACTTTGCTTTACTAACAAAGGGAAAAAGAAAACTTTCTGATTTCAGCCGCACAGTAAGGCAACATACTAACTTACCCAATTACATGTGTTACCTTCACACATGTTCAAGGTCTTAATTTCAAGATTAAATTTAGAGAAAATGTCTGAAAAATTTAACTTCCTACATGTATGTGTTACCTTTTATTTTTCAAGACAGAGTCTTACTCTGTTGCCTTTGGTAAGAGTGCCTTGGTATTAGAACTCACAGCAACCTCAAACACTTGGGTTTATAAGCGATCCTCTTGCCTCAGTCTCCCAAGTAGCGGGGACTAGGTGCCCGCCACAATGCTCAGTTACACGTGTTACCTTTTAAATAAATACTAGCTAGCATTTATTGAGTAGTTACTGTGAGCTACATACTAAATGCCTTCCATGGACTAGCTCAATCCTTATAATATGCTAATAAATAATATCATCACCATCACCTCTTATGACAAAATAAAGATAAAGGGTGGGTATTTGCCCATGGTTATTCAGCTAATTTTTAAAATTCAACAGAAAAAAAATTCTACTCAATGAATTTTACTTAATCCAGACAGTAAGTTTGACTATGTAGGGATAGAACTTAACAAGAAACAACAAAAGCTTTCAAATGAAATAAGCCTTGACATTCAACTGTATTTCTAAATCTGTATTTAAATTGAAAAGCAGGACTAAAATTTCAAAAAGATTAGGAAAATTTTCCAGAAATATATCTTTTGCATATTTTCTATAACAACTATGTAAAGCTTTTTACTTGCAAAAGGTAAAACATGCTTATTTTAGAAAACAGAAAAAAGCATAAAGGAAAAAAAATCCTATCTACAACATTCAGATACTTTGGAAACATGTCATGATACTTTATTTTAGCCTAATCTCTGTAATCCTTTAAAAATAGTGTTAGTTATACAGGAAGCCTACTTTATATTTGCTTTTGCTCCAAATGTTAAAATATAAACACCATCTCTTAATAAACTCTTAAAATATTTTTAAAAAGGCTACATACTGTCCCTGAAGAGATATATCAACATTTACTAAATATTCTTACTATTGGACATTTATGTTTTTGTTGCCTTCACTTAATCCAAACAATTAAATATTTCATTTCTTCAAATAAAAAGGGGACTATTATGCTACCCAATCAGAATGGTCTTTAAAAGCCCCTCATCAGAAGACTGCTCAAATTAACCTAAGCATGTGCCCTGATGAAAAGGAAAGCGAACTGCCCAACCTCATCTGTTTCACAAATCCTGATCTGCTCAAACTTCTATTTGTTGCTTTGATTCTTCAATCTCAGGCAGAGACCACCTATCCTTATGAAACAGACATTTTCTCTGAATTTAATCTTGGAAATGACTTACCCTCAGCCTAGGCCGTTCTCCCTGATTAGGAGTTAAAGCAGTTATAGTAACGATATCTTGCTTTCTATGAATTCATAGCATTTCATTGCAAGGTGCTACTAAAAGTTCATCAGATAGTATTAGAGCAAAGATAGAATCCTAAACCAAAATAAATTCCATGAGTGAAATTAAGACCTTGAATATCAGCATTCTTTTTTGCCCAAGCTGAAGCGATCTATCTTTCACCACCTACATCAAAAGAATAGCAAAATCCTGAGAAGGAATCTGTACTTGTGATTTACTTACCAAAGGCACTGAAAAGTCGGTAAAGGTTGCTGGCTTTCCATTCTTTGGGGAATGTCACGTGGAGAACGTGGTCTCGTTTAGGCTGCACTACAAGACAAAATTTTGATGTGATGTTGATAGTTGAAAAGTGACCAAGTATACCAGTGATTCTCTGATGACACTATAATAAACAACTCCTGAACTTCTTAGGATTAATAGGATTATGGTAATCTAGATCTCAGGTTCTAATACTTTAAGGAACTCACAACAACTTGAACCCTAGCAATTCTATGCACAAACATCTCTTCTGAAATTCCTGTGCAAATTATTTTAAAAGAGGGGGAAAAGGTTGCTCTGTGCAAGAAGTTTCATTAAACATTTAACTTTCTCCTTTTAATCTTTCTATAAGTCTTTTTTTAAAAGGCACTGTCCAAATTAAATAGACTAATTGTTTTTGAGTAAAGGCAATCTTGAGTCACAATCCTGTGTTCTTAATACCATACCTACCACTTAACTATGCAACTCTAAGCAAGAGACCAAACCACTCTAACCAATCTTGGCTATTTATTGGGAATGGAGATATTTAGCTTTCAGAATTCTTGTGAGAATGACAAACTAAAATATAAGTCTAATACAGAGGGTAAGCCAAGAGTATGTCCTCAAACTATCACTGCAGCAATTATCACCAAGTACAATTCACCTATCTCTACATGCCAATTCCATGTATTAAGGTAAACAAATCAAGGACAGAAGAGGAAAATAGAAGAAAAAAAGCAGCAACTAAATTCCAAATAGACTGGCCTTCTAAGGTTTTGAAAAGAGGAAAAAAAAGAAAAAGAAAAAAAAAGAGAACAGGAAATCAATCTACTAAATTTAAATATGTACACACTCAAATAATTGGAAAATAGAAATTTTACAAAGTTATTTACACACCTAATATGCCTTAAAATCTATTATAAATATTTATTGAAAATAATGAAATTAAGAGTTCGAAATGAAAATGAAATAATAAGATTTTTTTTTTAATTGAAGCAATATACAAACTGAAAAAATATATTCACAGAGGTGACTAATGAAGCTTGAAAGGTCCCATTAACTTAAGCATAGTCTTCATAATAGCCATAAAATCACTGCCCTTTTTTAAGTAAAAAGGCTCTTTTTTTAGTAATAGTTTTCCAGTTATTCTTTCCACATCACATACTTAAATGTACAGATGCAATAAGAAAATAAAAATTTACTTACAGTCTGGTCCTTCCAAGTTTAGATAGGGGATATCCATGAGCCTCATAAGAAACAACCTACAAAAAGAAATAGCTAATGGGCTATCTTCTTTCACAAACCTTATGTAGGCATTTATAAAATTTTCAGTAGAAGTGCCTTAATTATATTATTCTATGTCTAAAATCATTTCTAAAGCTCTGAAATTCATTCTAGAGAATTTTCTCTTGGGCCAAATATTTATCATCATAAGTAGAAAAACAAACAAAACAACTGGTGACCCAGCACCTACAACAGTCCTGGCACCTAGTTCCTGCTCAGTAAATATTAGCTAAATGAATGAAATTAATAGTCAAAGAATCAAAAGATAAAGTCCTGTGCAGAGCTACCTTGTTGAGTTAGTTCAAGGGAACTGACAGAAAACAAATATTAACTATTTTATCAAACTATGAACAAGTGTTCCCACAAATTATAAAAGTAACTCTTACGATTGGTGTTAGTGAGCTGAGGATGACAGAGTAGGTTTCTTCTTTTTAATGAAACACCAAGTCACTAGATGGATGCTGTTCTCTTTGGGCGAACTACACAATCTGAAATAAGTGACTGTCTCAAAAGCCTATATTATTATTTAAAACATACTAAATGCACAAAGCAAAATAATCCTTGGTAAAAATAAAAATAAAAAAACCCAAACAACTATCACGCTAATATAAACCATAGCAGTCATTTTATGTGTATCTTCCCAAATGGATACAAAAGCACTTTTAAAGATCACTTGTAAATTACAACTCTCTGAAATGCCGTTCAATTTTCTTTTATTTGCAAGATTATGGACAAAATATCAGGCATTCTGCTCTGTCTGTAAGATGATTTTTAACTTAGATAACAATGTATTGTACATTTCTGGTGGAGATCACATTATCCAGCAAATTAAAAAGGCAATCCAAGTGCCCAACAAGCAATTAGTTTGGCTTCACTGATCCACAATTAAGGCACATTAGTACCAGGCATTCAAAAGCCAAGCAGGGCATGAGCTAGTTTTGGAACCATCAGCGTCGAAAACACTCTTCTATTATTAATGTCAGAAAAAACAAAGTCAGGGTACTATGTGGTTTGAGAATTTGTTGTCTGGCCTATAATTTAATAAACCAAAACTACACCTAAGAAACCAAATTTACCTTTAGTTCACTAACTTAGGCTCAAGTTTACCATTCTGGTTCTATTAGCTATTTTATCCAATTTCATCAATACTACCTGCAATGCCAGAAGACGACAGCATGTATAAATCACCTAACATAATAGGTTCTCTAGCCATCGTTACTACCGGCCACCAGAACCTAGAAGTTAATCCTGGGTTAGAAAGCTCAATACTGTCATGTTGCATATAATTTTCAATTCTTCATTTAGTAAACTTAAAAAAATCAAATTAGGGCAGCAGTGCCTGTGGCTCAAGAAGTAGGGCACCAGCCCCATATACCAGGGGTGGCGTGTTCTAGCCCGGCCCCAGCCAAAACTGCAAAACAAAAAAAATTAAAAAAGAAAAAATCCTTAAAAGTTAGCGAATCAGAACAAGCATCATAAAAATAATTAAAAATTTCACCCTAACTTTAAGAGAACACCACAAGCTAATCAATAGTATGCTTACAGCTGTGCTGTCAAAAACACCCATAATCAAAATCAACCTTGAGATTCAATAACATGTGGGGGTCAGTAAATTATAGCTCAAAGATTCAATATAATATCAAGCATCAAAATAACTACAAAAACTTTAAAACATGAATAACATGTAATACAATCTTAAGTTTTAAAAAAATATAAAATTGTATGCTATGATTATATCTTCATAAAATATTTATGTGATTAAACCAATAATAGAAAGTAACTCCACTACCTTCCGTCAGCAAAAACAAAACAAAACAAAACAAAACAAAAAAACGCACTGGGGGAACTCTGAGCTTTGCTTTCCAAAATTCCTTTTACTATCATTTTTTAAAGCAGTGGTTCTTAACCTTCCTAATGCCACGATGTATTTTCATTGTTACAAAGGGGTTGCAAACCACAGGATGAGAACCGCTGCTTTAAAGACTACTAGCACTGAGGAGCTCAGGGGAAGCAACTAGAGACGTTCTCAGAAAAAGCCAACTGAAAATACCACTTGAATTAACCCTGCATGTCCCATGTACTATCTTAGCTGACTGTCGGGGACAGGAATATAATAAAGTAAAACCACAACCCTGAATCTACAATTACTATATTTCTTCTGGGAAATATAGTAATAAATAAAAACCAGACTGTAAGAATTTTGTTTTACTTAGTTATAGAGTCATGAAACCTTGGTAACAAATTTAGAAAACTGGGATGGAGGCAAGATGGCTGACTGGAGCCAGCTTTCCACAGAGGCTCCTGTCCAGAAGGGGAGTTAAAAGGACAGAAGTTTAGCAAGTAAGCTGATGGTTTGGAGCTGAGCCCAGAGAGAAGGTTGAAGAATGCACATCAACCCTGCTGACGTAAGCTGTGACCCCAAGGATACAAACAAAAGGTACAAAATCCATTACCAAGCAGACAGGAGTCCCCTCCCCAACAATAAAGGCTCATAGTATACTTGGCACCTGTGGCTCAAGTGGCTAAGGCACCAGCCATATACACCTAAGGTGGCAGGTTCAAATCTAGCCCCGGCCCACCAAAACAATGACGGCTGCAACCAAAAAATAGCCAGGGCGTTGTGGCAGGTTCCTGTGGTCCCAGCTACTTGGGAGGCTGAGGCACGAGACTCGCCTGAGCCCAGGAGTTGGAGGTTGCTATGAGCTGTGATGCCATGGCACTCTCTCCAGGGGGGATAGCCTGAGGCTCTGTCTCCAAAACAAAAAAAAAAAGAAGGGCTCGCAGTATACTCCATACCAGGTGTCTGCAAACTATAGCTCGAGGGCCACATGCAGACCGCCTAGGACATTTATCTGGCTGCCAGGTGTTTTTGCCGCCACTGCCTGTCCTGCTTTGCAGCTAACTTGTCCCAGGGCCTGCAGTCTGGCCCTCTAATGGTCTGCAAGACAGTGAACTGGCCTCCTGTTTAAAAAGTTTGAGGGCCCCTGCACCATACAAACAAGCAAGCAGAGTTCAAACATCCTCCCATTTTATCCCATGGGAGAGACCCTCTAAAAACTGGACCTCCTGCCCCTACTAGGGTGCCATGGCACTCTCCTGCCAGGCATAAAACTGTATATAGTCTCTACCTGCAATTCTGAACTCCCAGTATTCCCCTCCACTCTCACCCCAAGGTCTGGAAGCCTGTCCCCCATAGAGTCCAGATTCTTGGGCATTTTCTCCAGGGGTCTGGACAGGGCAAGGGCTGTTGCTGGTCTGTGCTGATTCTGCCGCATGGGATTAAGGCGAAGATGGTCAACTGAGAGGGAACCATACAGAGTGGTGGTGAAGCCACAGCGACCAGAATAATAGGGGTCACAGGCTGGGGATATTCCAGGGGACAGACACTCCCTTGTCTCTCTGGGCAACCAGAGGAAGCCAGGCATCTTCTCCGGTGGCAGCTACTAGCAGAACAGATCTGGGACCGAAACACAGGCTCTGTGAGTAAAGGGTATGCCTGAGGCGGTACCTGCCCGGGCACTGTGCGGGGACTAGAATAGGTGTGCCCAGAGACAGCAGACTCCCAGGGTGGGGCTGACCCAGAGGACTGTGTTACTGAACCTAAGAAGCACCTGGCCCTCAGGGGATCATAGCTGAGACAAAGGCGGGTAGGCAGAGGCTAGAACTGACAACTGAGTGTGAGCTCAAACCGTGCAGGCCCCAACACAAACTGCAGCCGAAACCGGGCAGCAGCACAGACTGGGACTGAGTCGCAGTTTCTGTGAACAAAAAGAGTGACTGATCCACAGTGGAATATAGCCGGGACAGAAACAAATTCTGTGAAGTTGTTCTGTTTTGCCAGCAACATCAATTGAGGCAGGGCTGGAACTGAGTGAACCACCACCAGTCTCCATTAAGCACCTGAGGTTGTCAGGCCTCACCTCCCCCTGCTGGATGGTGGCAGAGAGTGGCGGCCTGGCTGAGATATAGATCTCCCTGTGACTCAGGCAGGTGCAATCCCCTGGAGCATCTGCTCATTGGAGGGAACTGGGTCACAGCCCTCTGGGGTTACCAGTGACTGGGTGTGACAGAGGTACTGGATGGGGAAGGAGGCATCAACTTTCTCAGACTAATTTATTTGCTGGGTGGGTCCTTCTGACCTCACAGAGCACCAGAGTGAGTCATAACTTGAGCTGCTATCTAGTTGCTGGAGACCTTTTAAACTCTCCTACCTGAGATTGGTGCTGGCTGGGACAACTGATTTGGACCTCTTGAACTGGGCCAATCACCCGAGGAAGTTCCAAAGTGGAACCCTGGGTGTGTGGTTGTGGGAAGGTTTGATTTTCCTTTTCAAATTGTTGCCTGTGGGGGGCGGGGTGACTTAATTGCTCTTTATTTCTCCACAACTGAGACTTCAACCCAGAGTAATTGATTCACTAGGGTAGGACAGAGACCATCTGAAAACAAGACAGAGCCACTTAGCCCCACCATACCAAGCAGGCCCCCAGTTTCTCAGGCTGTAGCACTGTACGGGTCCTTGGCAAAGCTCTAGGGGAAAAGATACAGACACCAGTCCCAGCTTTTGGGCAAAGGACTAGTTAATCACTACTCCTGGAGTCCCCAACCCAACTTCTCCTTACCTGCTCATCTAGCCAAGCGGTGTAAAATAATCATAGGGTGGAATCACTGGAAAAACTCCAGTAACATGAATGACCAGAGTAGACCAACCCCCCCCCCAAGGAAGGATATGGCAGACTCAACTTGAAGATCTCATTCATAAACAGATGGCTGAGATATCAGAAATTGAATTTAGAATTTGGATTGCAAATAAAATTAATAGAATAGAGGCAAAGTTGGAATTAAAAATTCAAGGAGCATTTCAAAAGTTGTCTCAAGAACTCAACGAATTCAAAGACAAAATCACCAAAAATTTTGACACATTGAGACAAAAATTTGCAGCCCTAAAAGATCTGAGAATGAAGCAAGCAGAAGAAAGGGT